GAACAGGGTAAATTATTGAGAAAATTATTATTATCAATTAAATGCACCAGGAAACATAATAGAAGTGTCCGGTTGGTGATTGGAAAATTCCAGGGAGACAAAATGTTAGGCTGAAACAAACAATAGGAAGATACAATAAAGCAAGATGTTCACCTTTAATCTTCTTTCCACCTCGGCATCTGCCATTCCATCAAAACCAAGGGAATCTCTGTTTCCATTTAAAGCTGAAGGATCATCCTAAAAAAGAAAAAAGAGAAGTAGAAAATATCTTTTATGTCAGCCGACATATTCCAGCAATATGGTAAGCAGTAGAATCGGAAGTTTTTTAATGAGTGGAACATAGGTTTCCCAAAATGACTAAATAAATATGCTTACCAATTCAGCTGTATTAGGCTAAGCGACAACATTGTACAGACTTGGACTTACCTCTGAAACTAAGTAGTGGCTGACATCAGGTGAGGAAGGCACTTCTTTAATATCGTCTTCATATGCAACCCCAGAAATCCGTTGGAGCATACCATCATCAAATTCTCTGAGTTAGAAATGTCAAGTGAGATCCAACAACAGGCACTTAAAATACTGAAAACTACGTACAAAAACCGCTTCATGTAAACTTACTTAAAGAAACCGCCTCTCACATTGCAGGCTACGTTTCTAGCCACACAGAGCACAGGCACAGTGTTGTTGGCCTACAGGTAAATCATTTTTCGTCTCACGTCAGCAAACGTTTAAAGTTTTACCATATACAGAGGCTTTCGGTAAAGAAACAACTACCTCAGCTTGAGGTGCATAATATGGAGCAAATGCTGGAACAACATGGACTCTAGGTTGATCTTTCTCATCCCATACTTTTAGTCGGTCATCAATCACCAATGCCATCTTTGGATGACAATTTCCATTCTGGAAAACATTGAATAGTGATTTCCTAGAGCCTGTAACAGAAATGAACCGAAATCAATATTACAAATTGATGAACTCTAAAGAAGATAAGGTTTAAGCCTACAGCCCCTAAGCACTTACCAGACTTAACGCATACAATCCGGTCCAAAAGCTCCTTCAAGTTTATCAAATTCGATTCTGGATCAAGAAGCCTCCACATTTCTAAAGCATAATCTCTTTCAGCCATCGTGCAAACAAAAACTTCAAACCGCTTACGTCCTCTAGCAGTCAAGTAACTTCTAAGCTCCTCCCATGCTGGTCTTAATCTCACAAGAACACTAGTATCACGTATCTACATTGTTACAAAGAAGTTAGCTACGTGATTTGATTTGATAACTGTTACAGAAAAGATAAACGAAATCACCGCAAATATAGAACATTTGACCTGTCAAAATTCAAAATTGGCCAAAAAAGGATCGGAGAATGTATATAAATGAAAATACCAGGACAGCTCACAATCAAACAATATATTCCGGAGAAAACACAACACCCTCACCAGTGGATTAATGCGAGTAAGAATAATATTCCTATCCTGAAGCCGTATAAGAGGACGGACAATAGGCTGATGGGTCTCGGATAAAGCAGGAACCAACTCGGACTGAGACTTGATAACCTTCCCATTGTCAATCACCTGATCACTCTCAGCATATTGCTTCAAAATATTTTTGTCATCCTGATAACGTTTAACCTCTGATAACATCCCAGAAACACGCTGAGGATCGCTCTCTGTACTTATCTTCCTCTGCAATGCCTCTATTCTGTCCTCAAAAGAACGCATTGTGTTTGCAACTATGAGAGTCTCGTCAAGATCAAATACGATGCCAAGACATCTGAGGTTCAGCATCACAAGACAAGAGTTGTATAGGCTCGACGACACACTGTAGCCCCAAAAGCACGGGATCTGTCTGTCAAACTTTCTTGAGTGCATGGCAACTAAGTGAACCTCCCCTCCTCCAATTGATGCTACAGCTGCCTAAAAATATCATACAGAGAGATTAAGGGGGGAACCAAAATTGCGTAATCCGAACCCAAAATGACAGATACATCAATAGAAGATGCCGACATGTATATACTAAAGCTAAAGTACATTGAACTGAATAGAATGGCAAAACATTACGAACTCTCGGAAGTTGGAAATAATGAGTTCAATCACAAAATATGTTACAGATTTACAGAAGCATATTCATAACTGCAGTGAACACGGTTACGAAACATGAAGTTCCCCTTCATGTTATCTCAGTTAAGAGTTACAAATTTATCTAGATTGCATAAAAGATACATCAGGATTATCGTCACTCTTCCCAGTACCTTTTTGTTCAGCAATTATGTACAGGTTAACCGACAAAGTTTCTCTTTCACAGTTTAAAACTTGTATTATCCCAGTGTGTTAAGTGTAGAAGTTCGTGAAATGTCATAGGTTCTCTCTATCTCAAAACCCCCAATTAGGGTTCTGCTATAATTTTAGGTTTTACTTAAATGAGAGTTTTTTCCTTTTCATTTTTTTCGCTGGTTTCTGTTTTTGCGGCAGTACCTTGTTTTCTCTGAGACAGCTGACATGCAAAAGCGAAAGCGGCGAGTCTTGATTGGAGGCCGCAGATTCCAGTTTGAAGCATAACCCGGCGGGGTTTATGGTGTGGAGCACCGCGAGCGGCGGGCACCTCTCGCTCGGCGGCGAGTAGTGCGATATCCGAATTTCCCTAAGCTCGGGCCCTAAAACGACGCCGTTATGGAGGTGCACCTGCACCTCTCCGAGCACCCTATCCCCGTCGTACACAGCCACCAATCTCGGATACATACTTATATCCGCTCAAACAAAAGCTTTAAAGCTCGAAAATTCAAATAATATCCTGGCCCAAATTTTCACTACTTCAAATTGTGTAAATATGCACATCAATCAATAATTCACTGGATCAAGTCGACAAATCCGGTCCAATTGTATTTGGAACTCCATCACTTCCGATTCCTTTTTTTCTTCAGATTTACAGTGAAATCCAGGTGGGAGTACAAAAAAATGAATAAAAAAGTAGGGTTTTTTCTTAAAAAAAAAAAAAATCAAGATTCCGGCGAATACAGATTGATTTTCAATTGACGATGGTTGAATTGTTGAGTTAAACTTGATTGTATCTTGAAAATTTTAATCAGATTTTTTGAGAGCTAGGGTTAATCTGATGAGTGATGATGAGATTTCTATAGTAGACGATGCTCGGTGTGTGTGTGTGTGTGTGTGTGACGATTAAGCAGAAAACCCTAGATCCAGAAAATTTTGGGGTCAAAGTATCTTCTGTATGTATGCGTGCATAAGGTCTACATGGAAATAATAATTGGAATATTTTTTTTTCCCTACATTATCGTAACTAGTCTAAACCAACAAAATATATTTTACTTTTTCAAAAAAATGTTAGAGTCTAAGTTACGAAATTATTCTGTTGGAATTTGTAACCGTTATATCATGTTATAAATCTCGACGGAATAATTTTGTAACGGGACCATAGTATTTCTCTTTTTTTAAATCATATTACCATTCATGTTTCATTGTAAGGTTACATATAGCTATAGGATGGTTTTTTATTAAATCATTCATCACTTAATATATTGATACATGTATAATTATAGGACACGTGTCAATATACTAGGACACGTGTCAATATACTATTTGTAAATAGCGCATGACTTCATAATTCTTATCGTCTGATGATTCATAGCAAAATCATATAAAATTGTAATATCATAGATATGTGTCATTCATTCTACTTAATGAAACATGACTTTGAAATAGGAAGTCTCATCCCTAAATTAAGGAAATAGGAAGTTTGTTATCACCAAACATTACAACAACTTGGGCAACAATTACAATCATAAGTATAATAATAAATGTAAAAGATTGATCGGAACAAACTTAAACATACAAAACAACAATAAATCTCACGATCGAAGAAATGATCAAGCGGCTACATACAAAAGTAGTAATTAAAAAGAACACTTAGGTCGTCACTCGTTGTCAAGCATCACCACCACTACCATCACAACAGCCAACTAGTCGAAAACAACCACCCTGAAGAGAAAAAAATCGTATATTTAAAAAATTCAAACTTTAAGATGACTACAGACTAAACATATCTGAAATGAGAAGACCAAATCATTTCTTCAACAATCGAGACCAATAGAAATTATCGAATGGTTAAAAGTTGCCGTCTCCTCCAACATGTCGACAAAATCCTCAATCAAGACCTCCGGTGGGATGGAAGAGACCCCACGAAGGTCCCTCTAGATAATAAAAATATTTAATCAAGTCATTAATTATTTTACTGGTCTTAGAGTCTTAGACCATTAAACTCGAGATTATGAGTGGAAATGTGTTGAGCCGAGCTTGAATTCCTTATAATCGAACTCTTTATCGAGCCGATGTGAACTTATTTATCAATATTAACGAGTCAAAATGAAGCATCAAAGAGTTGAGATATAATTTTTTTGTTTTTTATTTTTATTTTCGAACCTTGAATGAACGAGAACAAACTTGGCTTGTTCATTATCAAAATCGAGTCGATACCAAAAATGGTTCTTTTAGTTTAACAGTTATACGTGCGACACAGATAAAAGGCGTGCATATGTTTATATTGTTCTTTCAATTGTGACATTTCAGTTTAAGAATATAGCTAGTACAACATTCCTGATTACACGGATTCTAGTTAAAAAAAAAATAAATAAATATACTGACTATCTTAATAAAATTGTAAAAGAGAAACTTTTTTTTTTTTTGTTTAAATCTAAAATACTTATTGAAAAATGAATTATTATTTTAAATGAGACTTTTAATATAGTCAAAGTGTTTTATAGTTTTAAAAGTCCTAGTAGGTAAGAAAAGATTTAATATCTACATGGACTACTCTGAAGCACTAGAAATTTACACATATATACGGAGCATCATAATTCAACACATAAAAATAAGGTCAACAGTAAGATTAGAACATTATGATATTAGAGGGATAAGTTTTCATGTGGGTTAGTGGAACCGTTAGTTTGGTCGACTCGTCATACTTTTCCAATAAAAATGCATACTATATTATGAAATGTCATATTTTTATTTATATTGTTTTTTAATATACGATATTTTAGTTTAAACGTATGCATATATATTGAAAAAATATGGAACCGTTAGTCCAATCTAACAATAGCTTTACTGTAACAACCAACTTAAACAAAAAAGTTTACAATTAACATCTGCTATAAGGGAAGTTTAAGTTGATTGTGAACATGATCTTAAATGCAGACCACAACTTGTGCAACAATATTACAGTAAACTAAAAGCTCTCATTTTCTCATAAACATCATACAGGGAAATTATTACCACACCTCATAATACAAGAGTTCTTTTCCTACTTCAATCTCTAGTTAGGGACAGTAAAAACAATTTACTTCACTAGCAAGGCTTTTGTCTGAATCCAAACCTCTCATTCCTCAGATCAAACTCCACATGAAAATTCTGCATCAAGAAATTACCCAATATCACAGACGGCCCGCCGCCTCCGTTAACTTCCGAGCCAAGCAACGTATTATCCGTCACCATGGCCAGGCAAACGACCAACTTCCGGTCATCATTAGCGGCAAAGAAATAGTTTTCTAATGGCAATTCCATCTCTGCCCCACCCTTGAAATGAAACTTCAAACCCGGCATCTTAATTACCTTTTCTCCGGTCACGTCAAAACACGGCCTCAAACCCGTTTGAGACTCTACATTATCTTCCCTTTCGTAATTTTTCACTTGAGTAAAAAACTCATTCGCCACTGCAGTAAAAGCTGCCCTGTTCATGTAAGTAAAAGTCGAGCCCGAATCGACTATAGTCCCACCCCCACCACTCGTTTTATCCAGGCACAAATTTTCGTATGGAATTTCGACCTTTTTACCTCCCACCATAATTTTTCGTAACCCAACATAGTAATAATCCGACCCAAAAACCGGGTTTTTCAAGAATGGGGTGTAACTGAATTTTGCCGTTTTTTCACCAGAATCGAATAAAGCATCCATATAAAGCGAGCCGCTTTTGGTAGAAACGAGGCAGTAAGAGAATCTTTTGAGTCCCAATTGGCTCGGGAGGGAAGTATTTCCCCGGCCGAATCCTGCTATGCCAGCTGGCAGATTTGACGAGAAAATCGAGCAGCCCACGAGAAAATCGTGTATTTTCTCGTTCGGCAGGTTGAGTGTTTCGAACATGGCTACACCGGTAGTCGATCCCTGACCGTACAATATCATGTACGGAGGGCATATTAGCGTGCAGCTCGTCTGGTTCGCCACCTGGCACTCTCTGCTGCAGCTAGAGCTCGGTTCGAACGATCTGTGGACCCAACCGCATTTAGGGTTCTTGCAGCCGAGGATCTCGGCCGAGGAAGATTGTTTCGGTATGAAAGAGGATATGTTGTTTTTCGAAAAAAAGGAGCAATTTTTGCACGTGTATCTTCTCGTACAAGGGAACCAAGAGAAGCTGCTGCCAGTGTCCATGATCATATCCATGGTTTGTGGAGGTGTGCCGAAGCTGAACGAGATCGAGTAAGCTCCACCGTAAGGGTACAGTGGGGTGGCGGCTGAGTTAGGGGCATTTTCGGGATTTTTGAGATGGTGGGCTCTGGCTATGGAGTTTGAGGCTAAGTATGTGAGCTTTTGGAAGGGGTGTGATTGTGAATGTGGGGTTGTGTTGAGAAGTGAGATGGGAATAGAGGAGCTTGAAAAAGAAGAAGAAGAAGAAGAAGAAGAAGAAGAAGAAGAAGTTGAAGCTGAGAACAAAAGTAGAAGGACAATGAAGAGGAGTTGAAATGAGTTGGAAGAAGGCATTGTTTTCTATGCTTTTCATCTACTGATCAAGTGCAAGCTAAAATGGTTTTTTATTTTGGCTTTTGAGTGACAACAATTAAAGAAAATGCTAAGGTCCCGTTACGGAACCATTCCGTCGGGAGTTGTAACCGTTAGATCAACATGTAACCGTCTGAGATAGTTGATCTAACGGTTACAAACTCCGACATAATGGTTCCGTAACGAGACTGTAGCATCTTCCCAACATTAATATAGCTCTTGAAGTGGTGATTTATGGGCATGTGATTTAAGGAAAAAATGAGTAATATGAGTGGATGGAGTAAAGGTGGAAATTGTGCACTAATAAAAGACAGTGGGGCCTTTAGAACAGCTTGGGATCAGTATAAATTGAATTTACTGGTCCATACCAGTTAGCAGTAGCAGTTTCTAAGCATGTGTTAATCATTTATTATTATTATTATTATTATTATTATTATTATTATTATTATTATTACTATTACTATTATTATTATTATTATTATTATTATTATTATTATTATTATTATTAAAGACTCATGCTGCCTGAAACTTGTGAAAAGAAGCTTTTTACAGCTCATTAAGCAGGCCACATGAGTACAGCACAGGTTGCATGTGGCTGAGTTGCTTTCTGATTGAGATATATTGCTATGCAATTGGACAAATCAAATTTCACTTCACCTTTGGGACCCTTCATTTAAAATAAACTTCTGTGGTCACTCAAAGAAAATAAAATATAATAACCTCCAAAGGTGTTAAATTGGTCAATTCCCATTTAATCCAGAATGTATGTTGCAGTGTGTTTATACATAAAACTAAAGAACATAAAATATACAGGCAAACAAAACAAGTCCCACAATTTTCCTTTGTTACATAGGTTTCAAACTTCAAAGTGCGCAAATGTTATTATACCTTTGCCTTTTTCCGAGCCAAGAACCGTGCCTTGGCTGCAGCCACTGCATCCTCGCTTCTCTTGTGATGGTCCTTAGCTGCCTCGTCATTTTTCTTCTGCTCGCCGGGTATCATCTGTTCACTAGCCGATGCTCCCCCATTCGAATCTTGTTCACGATCAAGAGATTTTGAAAGGGGTCCCTCAAGAGAATAATTCTCTACATTAGCATCGTCATCTTGATTTATTTTCTCTATTGCAGATGACTTTGGAGTTATTGCCACAAGAGAGGTTTGTACTTGCACCTGAACTATTTGTTCTTTAGGCTGCTTCTCGGGTATCCGAGAATCGACTTGTCTAGCACCATAAGCGACATTTTTGCCCAGGTTGAAATAAAAATCGCTGATGTCAGTCTTCTTGGTGACCTAATCCATTAAAAACAATAATATGTACAAAAATCAAACGACAAATTGAAATTTGAATCAAGGTAGAACTGAAAAAATAACAGCAAGAATAATTGTGATAATAAACGTTACACAAGTGGAAAAAGTGAAACCAAGATAGTAAGGGCGTACTTGGATACAAATATATCCGCTCAAAAGAGGTTTTTTTGGTGAACCAGAGTTAATTTGGAAAAATGTGGTATGATTAGTTGCTAGTGAGATAAAATAGTTAAAGTTGATTTGATGTAAAAGTAGGAGAGAGATGATGTGACGTGATTGTTAGTTAAAATTATGTGAATTGATGAATAGTGAATTAAAGTTGATGTTATGTGTAAGAATGATTGATTGATATTATTTGTTGATAATATTGGAGATAGTGGAATTGGGTTAAAGTAGAGTTAAATTTTGAGTATGCATTGAGTTTATTTGTATCTAAACACATCCAAAGTGATCGGGTGTAAACAATAGGTGAAAATCTCAGAAGCCGTCATAATTTTAATAAGTAGAACCTAACTAAAGTGGATTGGCAAATATAAGTTTCTGAAGTTCAAACTTTAAAATTATTTCAGAGTATCTCACCTTTAATGAGCGGAATTTCAAGATTCACAATAATTATTAGCCTGCTCAACACCGACTTAAATGCCGACTACATATGTTCTTGTATAAACTGTACAAGCTAGAGAAAGCTGGACTTACATCTTCCTTTTCCTCTCTCAACTCACGAAGCCGCTCTTCCTCGAGCCATTTGGCTTGCTCAGCAAGCTTTTTCTTGTAAGCACTTGTAACAAATTTATCTTTGTCAGCATAGAGGTCTTCATCCTTGCTTCTCTCTTTGGCAAGCTTCCTCTCATATATAATCTCGTGCTCTTTTTCTCGCTGTTTAGCCTTATCCAATAAGGCTTGAATATATCTGGGCTGCAAACAAGTTGCAAATGATATGCAATAGTGCTAAAAGATGGTGACGTTGATTACTCAGATAAAGCAAAGAGAGAGGCTAATAAAATGCCAAGAAGAGTTGCAAACACAGCTACTAAACATAAAGATGTAAATCGGTAATATCTCAAACAGCAAATTGTGCTTAACCTTGAACCTTGTTTGAAATCATTGCACCCAAAAATCAAATACTTTGATTAATTATAAGTTTGAAACAATTACTTACAATGAAAAAAGTAAATATAAGTTTGACTGCAGATGAATCTTAATTTCAAATTCCCCTTTGTCGCAAAAATTCTCGTGTGAAAACATTGTACGCGTGCATATGGGGACTAATACAAAAATATCCAACTAAGGACCTCTGTCCAAGGGTCCGTGTTTATAGCTAAGGGCGTCAATGATGTGGGCTCATTATCACATTTCACAATAATTCGAAAAGTTTACGTTCTAACGGTTGCATTTTCATTCAGAAAAGTATAAGTATTCACATTATACCTAATTTTATAACCTTTATACACCAAACTATGTTTATTTTCTAGTGAAGGTAATTATTCACTTTGAGATGCATCGTTCACAGTACATCTTTTCTCAAAAGAATTGTAACAAAAACAAACTTCACAACTACACTAATGTAATTTGTCAAGTAGCAAAGAAGAAGAAGAGTAACAAACATCAGAAACCATTATCCAGGGTAGTGAACGAAAAATATAACTTATCATCTTATAATACCACACAGCAAAAGAAACCATTACTTTACCTTTCTATCTTGTCGATCCTGCTCAATGGGCCGAACTTGTTTCTCCTTCATCTTATCATACACCCCATCGTAGTCAAACGCCAAAGGGTCTTCTTCAAGCGCCTTCTTATGCTGCTCCTCAACCTATTAGGAATGGCAAAGATAAATACATAAAGAAATATTTTGTTTTGAATCCATCAAAAGAATAAATTCAATAAATGAGGGAGTAGATAAACTATTTGAGAGAGAAGGGATGGGGAATAAACATCTCTGTGAGTTTTGTTCTTGTAGGCCTGGC